AAGAGTGGAACGGCGGCTCGTGTCGCGTCCGATCGCGAATCCTTGGCGTAAATTTCACGTAATTGTTGTAAATAAAGGACGTTCCTCGAGTTTCTTAAGGCACCGCTATAGGTTGTAGGGATTCTAATTGCATTCGGTAGCGGTTCTGTTAGGCAAGGTAATAATGATGACGACGATTATTATTATTATCACTCCTATTATTAATATCCTTGTAACGAATGGAACGATTGTCTAATTTTACAAGATGATTTTTTCATTGAATATATTTTGACAATATACTCGCTGCCTCTGTCGACTTTTTCTTTCAACAACCTCGACCACCATCACCATCCCCCAATTCTCGCGCCGTCGATATATCTCGTCCCGAATGCCACAATTTTCCCGGCACGATCTGCCAAATTTTCCGTCCAAGCTGCCACGATTCAACGTCTCCGAAGGAATTTTCCCCTCGGAGAAACGGGAAATCTCGTTGGCGTGCAGCGAAAATGCACTTCGCGAGATTCCGCGAACGCGTGTGCATAAAGGAGCCAGGTGTGTATAAAAGCAGGAAGCATTGGAAGCAGCGACACGAACATTTTCCGCGGCTCGGCCGGCCGGCGGGGCGAGGGCGCGGTTTTACAAGGTTGGCAGCCGATTTAACGACCCTGTTACGCGTAACTAGAGGAGCAGCGCGCATCCCGTGAGTGGCGGACATTAAAATTAAAATTACACGTTGCACGCCAATCCGAATTACGCAAGGCCGGATCGCCGCGCAAATTATCTTCGGCTCGCGAGGCAGCGCGGGAAAAGAAATTTCTCGTTAGCTTTGCCCGCATCCAGGGCCGCCTCTTTTCGCCCCCTTTTTCCCCCTTTTCGACCGCCTCCCTTTCTAACGGGGCTTAATGGCAGCGCGTTGCCAGCCGCGCTGCTCCAGCAGTCGATAGGGTGCGTCTTCGTCTCGCTTCTTCCAACTTGACAGCGAAGTCGCGCCAACGACACGTTGCGAGATTTTTAAATCCACGATTTCTTCCATATTCTTCGTTTCGAACTCAAAGTTCCTGTTTCACTGTGACTCTCGTCTTTGGGAAAATTCGAAGACTCTGACAGGATCGAGAAGGAAGCCACGAAGAGTTAGGATCGTGACAACTAAATGATCAAAGGGAACACTTTATTTTTTGACAGAATTAAAAATTAACCAAGGATCGATGGTGTCGATTTTTGAAATATTTTTCGCTTTTGGTAAAAGGTAGGAAACTCTGAAGCCAACTCCCAGGAGTTATATTCGTGACAATTAAACGATCGAAGGGAACAATCCGTTTTTGAGAGAATTAAAAATTAATCAGGGATCGAAATTTTTGAAGTATTTTTCCCCTCGAAGACAAGGTTCCTGTCTGATTTTGAATTTTGACTTGGTAGAAGGTAAGAGACTCCGAAAGGATGGAAGAATCAAGATGGCGATGTCTAGATAGCCAAGATTGCTTGTCCCTGTTCTATCCTGAACGTTGGAAGATTACTCGTGGCTGTTCTATTCAGAATGTTAGAAGATTACTCGGGAGATGGTTACGAAACAATCGGCCAGACAGCGAGGCGGGTGGAAACGGATCGAGTTATGTTAATTGAGTCATCCAGGTCGTCGTTGGATTCCCTGCGTCGCGATAAGCCCGATATTCGAAATGGCCGCCGCCTACGCCATTGTTAGCGCGATATCCGCACTCGGAGCGAACAGTTCCTTTCAACGCTCGTCCTGGAAAAATATTTCCACGCGGATTACCGATCTACAAAGATTCATTAAAATCCACGTCGTCGCAGATCGACCTTACCTTTCCCGAGACCGGCGATCTCGAGCGTACGCGTTTAATTCCCGCGCGGTTTAGTTCTTCGACACTGGCAGAATGGTAATTATTCGCGGTAGGAAGTGGAAAAAACTGAAATGCAAGGTAGCAAGACGCGTGTAATATTCATCTGACTGCATTATGCCTGCTATGCCGATTAGCTGACGCGCGAACTATTACGATTTCGAAAGATTACTCGCGCCGATTACTCACCGAATCGATTAACCCTTTGCACTCGAGAGGCGTCCTTCAGTCGCCATTTGATCAAATTTCGAAGATCGATGTTCATTGATATGTCAAACGTAAGCTAATGCAACGGCGTGCAAGTAATAATTAGTGTTAATTATTACACGATTTCTTATTTACTATTTGAAAAAATATCGTAAGCTTTATAGCAGAAAATCTTTGAACCCTACTCTTCTTTAGCCCAAAAATCGTCGAGTGCAAAGGGTTAAAATCGCGATGCAAAGTCCAGCAAAGGGATATTTCATATTATCGATGGTTTGCCTTGGAATTATCTCCTATATCCGATTCTCGAGTTCGGGTATCGAGATTCCGGAAGACGCGTACAAGGCCCAAGGAAGGTGTAAGAGAGGTATAAGAGAGGTAGACAGGAAGCGAGCATTTCGGGACCGTGGAAAAATACGGGAAAGCGAGTGCCGGTTTAACAAACGATGCACGAGTCCGAGGACACGTTGGACGCTTGCCCCCTCGTGGCGCGAACGACGTCGAGACGAGGAGAGGGATGGACGGTCGCAGGAAGAAGTCAGGATGCATTTAACGAAGTAAATGAGACGTAGCCGAGGATCGACACCGGTGGAGCACTGTCAACCACGCGGAGCCGTTTCCTCGGTGTCGTTCCCTCGCCGGCATCGATCATTCGCGTTATCGACATCTCGATCCCCCGAACCGGTCAGAGGACACGCGGGCCCGGACATCGCGCCGGAGGATCTAGGAATCTCTCCGTTCGTCCCCTCGATCACGCCTGATCGGGCCGGAGAACGAACGGTCCCCGAATACGAACGGAACGGTGCACGAGTTCGGTTCGCCGATCGCCTGTTCTCGTTCCAACGGAACGGTTCCACTCACGAACCGCCATTGTGTTCCCAGCGCGAGAAGAAAACGCGAGAACCCTTGTTTCGCTCGAGGGTCCTCCACGACTGTCCGCCTTCGTCGCTCGCTCGACCTTGGCCCATCGATAGGTCGACCGACGAATGTCGGAGCCTTGTAATTCCGACGTCCGCCATTTCCAATGGTTTTTAATTAACACGCTGGTGCGTGAGCGGCGCCACGCTGGGAACCCGGCGTCCGCGCCACTGCTCGCCTCCACTGGTCTCCGCATCCTCGCGGATGACTATGGGGAACCGAGTTTCGCGGGATAAATAATTATATCGGCTCGACGAAGGCATTAATAAGCGACGCTGCTTTTCGAGTACCAGACCATCGAGAGATCCGCTCGGAATTCGAGCGCCGAGAACGCTGGCACCAGCTGCTTTGCTGCTTTTCGATCATCTCCGCGATGCCAGTGACGTTCGACGAGAGAGGGAGATGGTTAGGTATGATTTCTAAAAATACGAGTTCCATCGTGGAATTTATGGAAACGTTTACGGGAGAAACGAGTTATATCGACCGGCACCGTAATGGGGATAGAAATGAAATGGCGGTTCGACGTTCCGGTCCTATTTACATTCTTCGTCGTGTCACCTTTTTGTCATCGATCCTCCACTCTCTTGTTCATCGTTGACCGATATTAAACTGGTTCCCCCGGCGTGCCCTCGAAATAACACGCGGATGACTCGCTTGGAAATATATAAGAGTCGCGCGATCGTCGTGCCATCGGGATCGGGCAAAAGGATCGGAGGAAAAAAAGGAGGCAAACGAGACAAACTGCTTTATTAGCTCCCCTGTTCTGTGATTTAAACACGTAACGCCGGAGAACGATCTTCATCGAGGTTCCCTCGGCTTTTGCATGCACTTTGACTGGAACCAATTGCAAACAACGAGCAAGCGTTCCGATCTAAATGATATATAACTATAGGTTGCGGGGGAATAATGATCGTAAACACGTGAGATAACAAGTTGCCGAGATGCGTGGAAAGATAATGGTAGATTTGCATGTTAGTTACGAATAATTGGTCGACTGACGCGATCAAGTTTCACACAGTCCAGAATTCCTTTTAGACTCGCGATTCCTCGAAAGCGTGAATTTTTATTTTAATACGGTTAAAAGGAAGCCGAAATTCTGCGATTCTTTAACCCTTTAATTATGGCAGACTTTGAAACGCACCAGCACTAGCATGTGGTAGGAATCCATCCAATTTCTGAGAAATTATCGTACAACTAACCCTCCTGTAACAGGGTAGATAGGTTCCTAGAAAATGTGTGCAAAATATTGTGTAAAACCGT